CTTGAAAAGTTTTAAAATGTAGAAGTTTCCGTTGGAGCCCACGCAGGCACAGTCTCTCCACAAGTGTGCATTCGCAGAGACCACGAAGAAAAAATTAAAGTTTAATACATTGTCCACCATTGCAAGCAGGCTTTCTTGTTTCTGGGTAGACTCAACTAGAATAACTGTCTTAATATTTCTTAGTGTTTTATCATTGCAATTCTGATTGATAATTCCTGAAGAGACTCAATGGCATAGGAGTATGACTAGTCCAATTTCAGAGGGGCTCAACCCCTCCAGACGAGTCTTAGGGAAATATCAAGCCCCATTCCTGTCTCAGGGTCTTGGGAGGGGAGGGAAGTGAGAGGATCTTTGGTTCCTGTAATCTTAATTAGAATCATACACATATATTACTACTGTTTGCAATGGGATGAAAACTCATTGATGTTGGCTACCTGAAAATGAATAAATAAACAATGGTAAAATGTGTGATAAGCACTTTGCCTAGTTTTCCTATTACTAGTTTGCCCAACTGTGCCAGAGATGCTAGTAAGAAGCAATAATAGAAGAGCAATACCTTAGCCCCTGCTGGTCCAGGTATTCCAGTTGGTCCCGATAACCCACGTATACCTCTTTGGCCTTGATCACCCTAGGAAAAAATGTATTTCATTTTACTTTAGAGTTAATATGAACACCATTCTAACTTTGTGGTGGAAAATGATAAAATACTTGTTAGCACTATGCAAGGGTAATTCTGAGATCTATATGTTCATCAGTACATTTACTAACAGGTAGTGCCTTGTTTTGATCAGTAGAAAGGAGAGGGGGTGGTTCATGATGCCAAAAGAAAATTGGTTTCTCTCAAATTCAGTTTTTAAAAAATTTAATGGAGCATTATGACTCCATTAATAATTTTTTAAAATGGTCTGATACAACCTCTGCACATATCATTACTGCCTGCTCTTTCTTTCCTTGGAAAACCATCAACCTCAAAGCATCACCATTTTTCAGGTGTTTGGGAAAATCACTTTCTTAAGATGTTGCTCACAGTAATAACAAGGTATAATTAGGCTTTATTTTTTGCTCAAGAATTCCATAATTAATTCCTTGCCTTTTCACCCTGTATTCCAATCCCTGGTGCACCTTCTGGACCACGGAGCCCAGGTAAACCTGGCTCTCCCTGAAATAGAAAGGAAGGGTTGGATCTATCACAGTGTACTGTACAAAAAAGGAAAGAGAGTTCTTCAGGACTATAAGAGAAATGCCCAAATTCATTTTATCAGAGGCAAGTGAGCTGCAGCCAATGAAAGCTTATGGTAAATTACATGTATTATGGCAAATCAAATTTATTTGCTACATCACTTTATATAAAACTCTGTGTACACACAGAAATAGGGCCCCCTGGTGGCACAGTGGGTTGAACTGCAGAACTTGCTGATTGAAAGGTTGGCAGTTTGAATCTGGGGAGCAGGGTGAGCTCCCACTGTTAGCCTCAGCTTCTGCCAACCTTGTAGTTTGAAAACATGCAAATGTGAGTAGATCAATAGGTACCACTTATGTGGGAAGATAAGAGCACTCTATGCAGCCATGACGGCCACATGACCTTGTGGGCGTCTACAGACAACACCGACTCTTCAGCTTAGAAATGGCGATGAGCACCAGCCCCCAGAGTCAGATATGACTAGACTTAATGTCAGGGGAAGCCTTTACCTTACACACAGTAATGTACACAGACATTTAAGCGTACCAAAACATGTATGCAATTAATTATTTACTTAGTTACTTGAGTCTGTATTCCTTCTATCATGGAGGCATAAAATGGCAAACTCTATAAAATGTAGAAAACAAAACAGAAACTCAAAAATAAATTAACCAACACTTGGTTAATCCTAGATACCATCTGTCATTCCAAATAGAATGGCTTCTTCAAAGTCTGGATAATACTTTGGGTGACCGATTTCTTTAGCACCAACCCAATGAAGCATAAAAGACAGAGCCCTTCCCTACCCCAGTTTTGAGCCTTGCCCTACCCCCATGGTCTCCAATTACAGCCATACATCTAGCTCATCACAACACACAAACTTAATTTTTGACAGCAGATGAACATGGCCCACATTTACCTCATTGTTTCAGATATTGAGGATATCATTCTGTCAATTTAAATAGTTCATTTTTTAAAAAATGGTAAGAAAGTGAACCTTTTGTCCAGGTGCTCCATCTTCTCCTGGAAGGCCAGGCAATCCTGCCAGTCCTGAAGAACCGGGTTCCCCCTAATGTAAAAGGGGAAAGGTATATATTCAATTCTGAATTTGTTTCTACTAGCCCAAATCCAAGACAAATCAATTAAAATATACAAAGGTGTACACAATATGCAAAGTAAACAGATAGGTCAGAGGATTTTTTTAACCTTAAAAATCTTTCAGTTCTCACTTACCCAGGAACAGCTGCTGCAATCGGTGGGATCTGTTCATTCTGGTGGTTGGGAAGCAGCTGACTGATGTTTCCAGCACCTCTCAGGTGAGTGATCTCTGATGGAAGCTGGAATTGCAGCTGAGGTCCTGCTTCCGCCTGTTGCAAGAGATCACTTGCAAGAGGACGTGGGAATGTCAGTCAGCTGTTTTCCAAGCATTAAGGAATGGATAGCTGTGGACTGCAATAACTGTTGCCCAGTAAGTGAGGAAGGAGGTGGGGGTTGGGCTGTTCCCATTCTGGCTCTTCCCCCATGATTCAGGGCCCTTCCACGTTGCCCTTTATTCCAGGATCTGATCCCAGATTATCTACTTTAAACTGGAATATATGACTCTCCACTTCCAGATAACTTGGGATAAACAGATAACCGGGGATCAGATCCTGAGATATAGGGGCAATGTAGAAGGACCCTCAGATGCATCCAGCCCTTCCCTCTCTTTAACCCTCTTGCTCTCTGTCCTCATCTGCTCCAATCTCTGTCTCTTCTTCTATTTGTTTCCTTTTAACCTCCCTAGCCTCTGAATCTTTTAACAATTTTAACAACCAATTTCAGAGAAACAGTGCGGAATGGCAATTGACATCACATCATTGTACAGAATGGGAAATAAATACACACTTCCTAAAACTAGATTTCTGAATCCAACCCCAGGTAGTATAGCAATTCCAATTCCCAGAAACATGGCACCACACATTGTGATTTAGACCAGTCCTGTCCCATGTGGACATCACACTATTGCCGTGTTAGGAGGAGATGATGGAAAGTGAAATCAGAAGGATACCAAAGGAGAAGATTGGTCTTGATTGTCTGGTATCTTAAACAGTCATTCATTAATATTTGTGTGTGTGTGTGTCAGGAACGACTTGAGAAACTGCAAGTCACTTCCAGTGTGAGAGAATTGGCCGTGTGCAAAGATGGCATTGCCCAGGGGACATCCTTGTGGGAAGCTTCTCTCATGTCCCCGCATGGGGAGCTGGAGCTGATAGAGGGAGCTCAACCCACTCTCCCTGAATTCGAACCATTGACCTGTCAGTCATCAGTCCTACTAGCACAAGGTTTTAACCCATTGTGCCACCGGGGGCTCCTCAGTCATTATAGCATCAGTCATTATAGGAGCAGTCAGTAAATATTCGGGGACAGTTAATGGAGATTCCCAGCCCCGGATTGAAAACCTGGCATCAGAGTCAATTCCTTCTAAAAGCCTCATATATGTTGAAGAAGGCAGTTGAGAATCGATTGAACCTCTTCTCTGCTGGAAGAGGGTGATGGGGCTATTGAATTCAGGACCTCTAGTGCCTTCTAAAATGACAGGAGATGCACCACCTTTTAGATGCTATAACACAGTGCCTGACAAATAGCCCAGTGCTGTTTGTGTATATGTCTGAACTATGGCTATTACCCACAAAGATTTCAAATTTTATTTAGAATATAGGTCTATAGTCCTATCATTAGAATGAGACCTTACCTTTGCACCAGGTTCTCCAAGACCTCTTTCTCCAGGGCCTCCAGTCTCACCAGGCAAGCCTTGATCACCCTTTGACAGTGCACAAACAGCAAATTGACAAGCTTGAATCATGGCTTGAGTATGGCAACACAATAGTACAAGGACACCTATTTTGATTAGTACATAAAGCCCAAACATATAAATTCAGTAAATAAATAAATAAATAAATAAATAAACAAACAAACCACTGGCTTTGGAGTTCTCCAATAGATGGAAACCCCAAATTTTCCTTAATAGTTTTTATTTAGATTGGGAGGGAAGGAAGGGGTGGCAATTTTGGGAAGAGTGTGGGTCACTTTGCTCACACCTGCTTTAGAACATCAGAACAAATGAAGACATCTTTTGTTGATATTAAACACAAACAAATTGTAGTTGTTTCTGGTTACTTTTGCTCACTTTTGGTCCAGGTACTCCTTGTCCCGCTGGTCCTCTTGGCCCTGGTGGTCCTTTGGGGCCTTCTACTCCCTGGGAAACATAAAAGAATATTAATCCTGCAGGAGAAGTTATTTTAATGTGGGATAAGTAGTTTTCTTAAAGCAAGCACTCACCTTTTCCCCTTGAATTCCAATCCCAGGTAATCCAATAGGTCCAGGCAAACCAGGGGGACCAATTTCACCCTGACAAACAAAGTTTGATTAGTTACTACTTCACATATAATTTTGATACCTTTCTCATAAAGTACAGGAATGCTCATTGAGTACAATTCGATACAGCTTCTTTGAAGCCAGCATTGTCAGCTCAATACAGATGAGCTGACACACCAATTCTATATTTCCTCAGTTACATTTAAATAGCAGGCTTTATAAATGTTGCCTCTGCTGCAGTGAGGGACTTATACAGTCACTTTTACTCCATTCCAGAACTTAACTTTCCCACAGAATCAACCACCTCTTATTTAATCTCACACTTTACTATGAAGGGAAGTTAAAAGAGCCTTTGGGAAGTTTATTGGGCATCAATCTATCCACAAAATACAGTATTGTTCAATGTCCATTGGGGAAGCAAACTATTTATTTTGCTTCATTACACCCTTTGTGATTAGTATCAGTCACACGGCATTTAAATTTCTTTGGATTTTCTAAATCCACTGGCATATTTACTGCTCACCTTTTCACCCTTGATGCCTATGCCTGGTTGTCCCCGGGGTCCCTTGGGACCATCAAAGCCCCGATCTCCCTATATAGAGAAATAAATTTACATGGTAATTAGCAAAACAATTGTTCACTATAATCTTGGATTCCTTTCACTTCAAACAGACGGAACTGCTGATAATGTAATCAAATGATTCAAAATACTAAGCATACCAAAGACTGAAATTACTCACTGGATGAGATTCAAATCAATGTGAACACCATTCACAAAACAATCAGCAAGACATTTTCCCTTCTCTCCAATAGTTGAACCACACCTGAATTCTCCATTGTTCGGGGAAGAGTCAATGCATGTCACATAGTAGATGTTACCTATACATCAGTGGTTCTCAATCTTCCAAATGCCGCAACCCCTTAATACAGTTTTTCATGTTGTGGTGACCCCCAACTATAACATTATTTTAGTTGCTACTGTTATGAATCGTAATGTAATATGCAGGATGTATTTTCATTCACTGGACCAAATTGGGCACAGATACCTGATACGCCCAAATGTGAATACTGGTGGGGTTGGGGTGGGGATTTTGTCATTTGGGAGTTGTAGTTGCTGGGATTTATAGTTCACCTACAATCAAAGAGCATTCTGAACTCCAGCAATGATGGAATTAAACCAAACTTGGCACACAGAACTCCTATGACCAACAGAAAATACTAGAAGGGTTTGGTGGGCATTGACCTTGAGTTTTGGAGTTGTAGTACCCCCTTAACCAGGGTTGCCTTTGAAGACTGTTTGGAAACTCCAACTAATCCAACGGACGGCAGCCAGACTGCTCACTGAAGCATCATACAGGGAGCATACACCCCTCCACTGGCTGCCAGCACAATTCAAAGTGCTGGTCTTGGCCTATAAAACCCTATGTGGTTCCAGCCCAGCTTACTTGTCTGAACGTATCTCCCTCTACGTTCCACCTCGTAGTTTAACATCGTCCAGGGTGGCCCTGCTCTCGGCCCGGCCAGCTTCACAAACGTGTTTGGCGAAGACAAGGGACAGGGCCTTATCGGTGGTGACCCCCCATCTGTGGAACTCGCTCCCCAGCGAGATTAGATCGGCATCACCCCTCCTTTCATTTAGGAAGAAATTGAAATCATGGTTTTGGGATCAGACCTTTGGACAGAAGGCATGAAAGCACCTCAGATGTGAAATTGGACTGGATGCAACTATTGGCTTGATAATAATGTTTTTACATTGTTTTTAATTTACTGTTTTCTACTGTTTATACCCTGTTATATTTATTGTATCTGTTTTTTACATGTTGGCATCGAATCGCTGCCAGTGTAACCAGCTCTGAGTCCCCCCTTGGGGGTTGAGAAGGGTGGAGTAGAAATGTTAGAAATAAATAAATAGTCAAATTCTTTACCCTTACTCTTCCTAAATGCTTTTGGAGCTTCAAATTTAAAATTGAATGATTTATGTCTTAAAGAAGTCAGTTATTTGCTTCTTTTTAAACTTTATTCCCTTCTTTAAAAATGGAAAAGATCACATTACCATTGAACACCATTCACTAGGTAAAAGTATACACAAACGATTGATCTTTTTTTGTTTCTTTTTCTATTTTCTGCTGAGGCAGGATGGAGTTCTCTTAAGAGCAGAGTCCTGGCTGAATTCCAAATTGTTTCCTTCCATTCATTCTGCTTGTTTAAACTTCCTTTGTAGTTTCAGTTTGTTAATGCCTCTTTAACTTTACTAAGCTGATGTGAAGTTTTGGCTTCATGTTCACTGGGATGGAATTGCTTCATGTCTCCAAGGAATTGTTCTTTTTTGTGCGACCACATTTCAATTTGCATTTTTTATCTTTATACAGAAAAACTGCTACAATATACAATGAAAACAGCAGGAGGCCAAAACTTTCCTGCGGAGGCACAAGTGAAAAATTGACAGAGTGATCACCTTATGTGTGTCTCATGAACATAAGCTTCAACCCACATGAACACAATCCACATATATGCATATGAACACAGGTTTTAATCCACCATCCAGCAGTAGTTGTAGCTTCAAAAGACGACAACAACAACAACAACAACAACAACAATAATGGGACACCATTTCCTAGGGCTGCCAGGCTGGATATGGAACAGGGCTTTTTGTGACTTTAATCTTAAATACTATGCATTTCCATATCTGCAGGGGATACTTCATGTGGATACATGCTACCATGGATAAACAAAGCATTTCCGGCCGAAGAACACCATGTCACACCGGAGGACATAAAATGCCTAGAGAGGGCATATTTTGTTGGATATTGATATATGAAACCATTTATAGTAGTTCCACAGATACGAGGGTCATATAATGAGAAGCAGGGTGAGTGCCATAGTTACTTACTTATTTAGGTGATCCCTTGTTCTCTAAGTAAGATTGTCCTCCAAGGTCGGTGTACTGGCAGTGGGTCAGTAGGTGACTGTGGAGCCCTATTCTTGACCTGCATGTTCCCCTGCAGTGAGGGCATAGGTTTCAAGGTAGAAAGCGGTCTTTCCTCTTGGCACGTTTTTCTCTTTCGCCCTACATTTGTGCCTCTTCAAATTCTACAGCACTGCTGGTCACAGCTGACCTCCAGCTAGAGCTCTCAAGGGCCAGGTCTTTCCGGTTCTCAGTGTCAATGCCACAATTTTTAAGGTTGGCTTTGAGCCCATCTTTAAATCTCTTTTCCTGTCCTCCAACATTCCATTTTCCGTTCTTGAGTTCGAAGTAGAGAAACTGCTTTGGGAGACGGTGGTTGGGCATTTGGACAACGTGGCCGGTCCAGTGGAGTTGATGGTGGAGGACCATCGCTTCAGTGCTGGTGTACTACTAATGGTGTCCCTCCATTAGACCAGTGTTAAGTTTAAAAGCCTAGATTACCATTAAGGAGAAAATGTAGTGACAGCAAAGTACTACTCATTCAAGCTCTTTTTTCAGGCACAGCTATTCTCTTCCAACATGGTTTTTCCTTTTCCAATGAACAGGGTGGAAGAGGAGCACCAACTGCAGACAGTGTCTTTGTGCTCCTCCCCTGCTCTCAACAGAGGCCAGGACCCAGAAAAGCTTCCTCTACTTGCACCTTATCTACGGGTGTGAACATCAGCCCCTAGTTGAAACATGACTCAGTTTCTGTATCAGGCTATGATGAGAATGATGAATTATGTCCACACGAGGAAAACCTTATATCTTAGGAATGCCACTCATTTTTAATAGAGTTATTTTTAATTTTGGTATTCCTGTTGAATTTTGGTATGTTTTCGACTGCAAATGCTTAAGCCACTTTGGGTAAAAAGTAATAATAGCAGAAACTTCCCTAACCAGAAAGGGAAAAAGTTATTTTACTGATTTTCCCCTTCCTTGTAGAATACTTTTGACTTTACCACCACCATTTATAATACAAAGTTATGGCACAGCTATTCTACTTTAACTGCCCACTCACACTACAAAGTTATGGCACAGTTAGTCCATGGCAACATCCTATGGAGTTTGTGGTTTGTTTGAGGCATCACAGGAACTCTTGCTCACATTTGGCCATATTGAGGATTCATGCCAAGTTTGGTCCAAATCTATCATTGTTTGAGTCCACAGTGCTCTCTGGAGGTAGGTGAACTACAACTCCAAAACTCAAGGTCAATGCCCACCAAACCCTTCCAGTATTTTCTGTTGGTCATGGGAGTTCTGCGTGCCAAGTTTGGTTCCATAGTTGGTGGAATTCTGAATGCTCTTTGATTGTAGGTAAACTATAAATCCCAGCAACTAAAACTCCCAAATGACAAAATCAATCCTCTCCCAACCCCACCAGTATTCAAATTTGGGCATATCATGTATTTGTGCCAAATTTCATCTAGTGAATGAAAATACATTCTGCATATCAGATATTTACATTACAATTCATAACAGTAGCAAAATTACAGTTACAAAGTAGCAATGAAAATAATTTTGATTGGGAGTCACCACAACATGAGGAACTGGATTAAGGCTCGTGGCATTACTTAATTACTTACTTAGGCGATCCCTCGTTGGACGAGTAAGATGGTCTTCCATCACGGGTTTCCTTGTGGGTCCGTATGTGGCTGTGGAGCCCTATTCTTGCTCTGCATCTTCTTCCGCAGTGAGGGCATTGGTTTCCAGGTGGAAGGCGGTCCCGGTCGGGGTTGGCTTGACGCGCCTTCCTCCTGGCACGTTTCTCTCTTTCACCCTCCACTCGTTCCTCCTCGAATTCTGCAGCACTGCTGGTCACAGCTGACCTCCAGCTGGAGCGCTCAAGGGCCAGGGCTTCCCAGTTCTCAGTGTCTATGCCAGAGTTTTTAAGGTTGGCTTTGAGCACATCTTTAAATCTCTTTTCCTGTCCACCAACGTTCCGTTTTCCGTTCTTAAGTTCAGAGTAGAGCAACTGCTTTGGGAGACGGTGGTCAGGCATCCGGACAACGTGGCCGGCCCAGCGGAGTTGATGTTGGAGGACCATCGCTTCAATGCTGGTGGTCTTTGCTTCTTCCAGCACACTGACGTTTGTCCGCTTGTCTTCCCAGGAGATTTGCAGGATTTTCCGGAGGCAGCGCTGATGGAATCGTTCCAGGAGCTGCATGTGACGTCTGTAGACAGTCCACGTTTCGGGAAGGTTGAGAACCACTGAACTACAGGAATATATTTTTATACAAACTAATCAGTTTCTGCTGAAACACGGTACAAACATTTTACACACAGTCATTTTGGTGCCACCTTTCTGAGGGTCTCACTCAGTGGAATTTGCACCTTTTGCACTCTGCTAATGATGCCATTGTAGAAGGCTTTGCTAGATTAAAGGATCTTTTGTAGTTGGTATGACTGGGTGCAACTCATATCTTGGTATATGTTGGTTATTCAGAATGGACAATGGCACATATTATATTTATGGCAAAAAGACAATGACTTTTTAAAACACAATGACTTTTTAAACACAATGACTTTTTAAAAGTCTCCTACTTTTGGTCCTGGAAGCCCTTCACCCAGTGAACCTCTTTCTCCTTGAATACCTTGTGGTCCTTGAGGTCCCTGTAAAAAGAACAAAAGTTTCAAAACATCCCAGAAAAGTATGGAAATCAATAACAAATCATCTAAATGTGATCTCTGTGGCCTGGAACCTAGTTTCAACCTGCCCCAGATTGCTAGAGTAATATATTCATGATACATCAAAAAAGTAGAAAGCCATGAACTGCAGCAATAACAAGTTGTAGCAGATTTTTCTTCCAGCCTTTGCCTCCTCCCACCCCAACTTCTGGCCTCACTGAATAAAAGGCTTAAATTCTGAGCCTGGAAGGTTCATCCTGTAATAATCCAACAAAGCAGCCAAGTGTAAGCTTTAACTTTAATAATAGCTCCTGATGGGCTCACTTATAGGCTCAATTTTGAGCAAGTGTTTAAGATTCCTGGCAGGAGGACTTTCAGACAGATATAGGCAGTTTCTGGGTTGCAACATTACAAGTTATTCTTACCATGTCAATGTGTTTTTTTTCCCTGAGGAGTCAGTGGATAAAAAGCTACCAAACTCTGTTATCAAGAGTTATGATGTCAGAAGAATCATCAATGACTTGAGTGGGAAACTCCTGGGGTCCCAATTCAACCCCCTCATTTTTTTCCAGAGTGCCATATTCCCTTCTTTGTGGTGTGCAAGAAAAGAAGATGTTGTTTTGGATTGGATTGAGATTTAGGGGGCAGCTTTAGAATGAATGCCGTTTGACACCAATTTAACTGCCATGGCTCAATGCTATGAAAACACGGGAGTTGTAGTTTTACAGTCTTTAGCCTTCTCTGCCAAGTAGTGCTGGTGCCTCAGAAAACTATTTATTTATTTATTACTAGCCGTCCCCTGCCATGGTCCAGTCTATGTATATGTGTTTTTGTGTGTGTACATGTGTGTGTATATTTTGTGTATATGTGGGTTTGAGTATATATATATGTGTGTGTGTGTGGTTTTGCGCATGTGTTGTAATTTTTTTTGGCTTTTAAAGTTTCTTCTGTTGTGTTTTACAGTGTTTTTATGAGTGATGGTCACTCATTGGCCTGATAGTTGCATTGTGTCCAAATTTGGTGTCAATTCGTCCAGTGGTTTTTGAATTATGTTAAGCCCACAAACAAACATTACATTTGTATTTATATAGATTGACCTGCATTTTTTTTTGTATACCACCCTTCTCAACCCCGAAGGGGACTCAGGGCGGTTCACAGTGGTTGCAACAATTCAACTACAACTCTCAAGATGTCCTAGCATTGAGCCATGACAATTAAAGTTGTATCAAATTGCATTAATGTATAGTGCAGATGCACCTTCAGGGATTAATAAAGGGGAATTTCTCTTCTCTTCATGTGCAATACATACCGGTAAACCTGGTTCTCCAACTCCTGGTGGACCAACAGGACCTGGTCTTCCTGTCAAACCAATGTCACCCTAAAAAAGTGCACGGTATGGTATGTTTAGTTTTGACTGCAATGCAAACACTGAAAAGAGGAAGTGTTGTCTGAATTGATACAATGCTCTTGCAAACACTAGAAGGAAGCAAAACAAGTCTCATCCCAACTAACTCTTTCTTTTCACATATATACATCAAAATTTATCACCGCTGGACTACTGAGAGTTGCAACCCCCCTCCCAAAAACCACCCCTAGTATGAAAGTGTTTGAACTGTATCCAGAATACCTTTCAGGTATTACAAAGACATCATTTATTCTTGCTTACACTTTTTTTCCGGTTGTATATTATTTCAGCGGCAGGCCTTTCTAGTTCTTTATACAGCAGGCTATATGATTGGCATCCTTACCTTTGGGCCAGGCAATCCTATTCCAGTTTCTCCAGTCAATCCAGGAGGACCAGGCAGGCCTCTTTCACCCTGTCAAACAACCCCAGAAGAAATAGCTTCAAACTTGACATATTTGCAATGTAAATGATAATACTGTTATATTCATTGTAGCCCTGGAAGATTCTCTGGTAGCTAGAAATTAAAATATGCAGTGGGAATGGGCAATACATTGTTGTTTATTCATTCAGTCGCTTCCGACTCTTCGTGACCTCATGGACCAGCCCACGCCAGAGCTCCCTGTCAGCCGTCACCACCCCCAGCTCCTTCAAGGTCAAGCCAGTCACTTCAAGGATGCCATCCATCCATCTTGCCCTTGGTCGGCCCCTTTTCCTTTTCCCTTCCATTTTCCCCAGCATCATTGTCTTCTTTGAGCTTTCCTTTCTTCTCATGATGTGGCCAAAATACTTCATCTTTGCCTCTACTATCCTTCCCTCCAGTAAGCAGTCAGACTTTATTCCTTGAAGTATGGACTGGTTGGATCTTCTGACGGTCCAAGGCACTCTCAGAACTTTCCTCCAACACCACAGCTCAAAAGCATCGATCTTCCTTCGCTCAGCCTTCCTTATGGTCCAGCTTTCAAATCCGTATGCTACTATGGGGAGTACAATTGCTTTAACTGTGCATATCTTTGTGAGCGATACATACAAACATGAAATAAATAAATAGAACATAGAGAGTTAATAGGGATAAGTGCATTTCCCCTTTTGTGCTTCTTTACTGTATATGAGGATTTTGAAATCTATTTTTTTTCAAACGAACCAACCAAACCATTCATCTTCTGTTCATTGCGGGATTAGAAAACCTGGATGTTCCAACAAGTTTTCCAGAACGATTAGTCCCCAGACCCAGTTTCCAGTTAACCAGGTAGCACTCTGTCCTGCATTTTAGCTACTTTGACTTGCTGTTTGCACCAGCCCATGCCCAGCCCTTTATAATTGGACGTGACTAGCTGTAACCCTGGCCATTAGTTTTGCTGAATCTCTACCTGATGAGCTATAATGAAATGGATTTTAATGTTTTTATCTTTAGTATATTTTAGTAGAAATTGTTGTATTTTATGATGTTTTCAGCTGTTGTTACTTTGTTTCTTAAGTTTAATTAGGTGGGGCACTCCATGTAGTCATGCCGGCCAGATGACCTTGGAGGTGTCTATGGACAACGCCAGCTCTTCGGCTTAGAATCCAGAGTCTGACACGACTGGACTTCATGTCAGGGGAAAAACTTTACTTTTACTATATTGTCGAATGTGTTTATTTTGTTGTAATTGTTTATATGGTTTCTTTCTGACAATTAAATGTTTACCTCTATCTCCTTTGGGGAGATAGAATGGAATACAAATAAAGTTTTATTATTAAAGTTTTATTAACTCCAGAATTTGTATTTTTGTTCTGCTTTATTTTTGTTTTTGTGTATGTGTGTGTTGCTTTCATACTTTTGCAATGCACTTCCTGGCTCAGCAAAAATGCCAGATTTGGCCTGGGAGAAAGCGCGTTTTCACATCACAACTGCACTTTGACTGACATAATTTGCATCTTACGAAATTCTGGGATGTGAAGTTCAATCAGAGGTACCAGGGGGATTTATTTGGCTAAAAATTCTAAATGCCATTCCTTAAACTGTAAATCCCAGGATTCATTAGGATGGCATCACGGCAGTTGAAATGGAATCATGGCATCATAACTGGGTGCAGTGGAATGGTCAGAAGTAAATGTAGGGATATCATTCAGGTGGGAATTAAATCTTTCAGAAGGGCAAATCTACCTATGTCTTCTCTTATCCTGTTTCTCCTCCTCTTCTTAATCCACCTCTTCATCCCCTCCCCTCCTAATCCTCCTCCTCCTCCCCTCCTCCCCCCCTCCTCCTCCTATCATACTGGAACTTAAGGATACAAGAACCTGCCAGAGGTTTAGCATGGGTGGTAAATTACCAGCAACTATAAGACCTATCAACCGAAAGGTTGCAAGTTCAAAGCCCTGGGTCAGCGTGAACTGCCAACTGTCAACCCTGCTCACTGTTTATCTAAGCAGTTTGAAAACAGCTTTAATTAGAGAAATTAGGAACCACTAAAAGAAGGGGAGGTGTTTTATGATGCTATAAAGAAAGAAGATCAGAAAATGCTGGGTGACCAAAAGGAAGGAGGAAGTCCTGACGGTTCTTTGTCATAGAGGATGGAGCGACAGCACCCCCTGTGTCCGGACTCGACCCCAACGTTCCATGGCACCAAAACAGCTGGGCACTGAGTCAAAACAACACACTTCCTTTCTGTTCTGTATGTCTGTTTATTGGCTATACAAAACGGCATTGAATGTTTGCTGTACTGAATATCAATAAAGTTTTATTAATATTATTATTATTACCTGAATAGGTCTCATGACACACTATGTCACCCTGATATTAACTGGAAACCAAATGTAAATTCAAGAATTTTCCTATGGTAATTCATGCAGCCAATTTTGCTTGATAATGGAGTAGATTTAGCAAACAGTCCCTCATGCTGAGATCAGCACCCAAACATAATGTTTTGGCCAGAAAGCGGTTGTTGAATTGCTATAAGAATTGAATTCCACAAAGATCTTAGCATAGAGGTGTAATAATAACATCAAATAAAAAGTCTGAATCAAGTCTACTGTACATTTCTTGTTGTTGTCAGAAGAGATGGCCTGGAGTAAAATAATTTTCTCCCACATTTGAGAAGAAATCCAAGTGTCATGTAAAGATGTTATTTATGAGTTGCACTTTAACGGTTCCCTGAAGCTTAAAGCTGTATAAGAACATAATCGGGCCAAAGTGCCTTGAAGGGAATTTTTCTGATGTGGAATGTCATGGAAGTTCTGTTTTAATTTTTTGATATTGCACCTCACTCTTAAGTATTAACAAAATAATTGATTTTGTTCTTTAATGATCCACTGAGTGATTTTTCATGCAACCTTGGTACATCAGCTTCAATATAACATATGTCTGGAACTCCCAGCGTAGGAATGATTTAAATACTAGTATTTTCATCAATACATGCATCCCAACAGATATCAATATGTTATAGTATATCTACATTTGCTACAACTAAATATAATATTTTATATTTTAAACATTTGATTTGTGCTCTACCAAGATTAGCACTAGCAGTTATGGCAGAATACATGCACACAGAAATATCTATAGAACTTTATATACTTGTCTAAATATATAACTTTTTTCTTAAATTGCACATGCTTATTAAATAATCAGGAGAGGGCATCATAGTGCTATTTCGATCTTGTTATTTTTCAAAAGCATCTCTGTGCTTCTTAAGCACGCCAGAAGCTGCCCATAACTTCTAATTAATATATAAAAGGCTAAATTCATCAATTTATCTTTTTTATATGTGAGGAACTTCTGTTGTGGCTTTGTCTTTTTTTCTAGGAGCATTTTATTCCAGACACTGTGAGTCAAACAACATGAGGGGAAATCAAGCATCTGGGAAAAGTTACATATGTATCTGTAAGGTCTGATAATGTTGAGAAACAATATTAACTTTAGGAATTCTACCTTTGATCCCTGCACTCCTTCAGGCCCTTGATCTCCAGGCAGACCTTGGGGACCCTGTTAAAACAGAATATAAGGTGAAGATGCCTGGATAGATCAGGTTATGACTACTTTAGTACTATATCCACACAAAACAGTATATATTCAGTGGTCAAGAAATCATGTTCTTTGGCTATAAACATGAAGACTGGTTGCATTCCCAAGGAAGCATTATCTACCTTCATCTATCTAACCAAAATTTTCTGAACCTGTTTTCCTGGTCTATGGAACAATAAGGAATTTGTGTTGTCCAAGAAATGGCTGTTCATAGATGCCAACAGTTTTGAAAGTACTGGCTGGGTCAAGGAACTTATTCTTTTCTTGATACTGATGGATTGCTGCCATTGGCTTGGATGAACATGGATGGCTAAGAACTCTAAAAGCAACATCTATGAAGGACAGCACCAAATCTTGCTGGAGTTGTGTAGGTTCGCATTCTACTCAGCTGCAGAGGGTTTGATTGTGATAACATCAAATGGTAGTACTTTCCACACTAAAATCAAACTTATTTGTTTACGATAGAAATTAAGATAACTTGCTCATGTTAGGGAAATAACTAAAACATTTTTTTACTACATTGACTTCAATTTATGTTTCTAAGCTAGGGCACAGTAGGTTAATCACCAGATGCAGCTGTAGTAAATTTAGCTAACCAAAAGGTTGAGAGTTCAAAGCCGGGTCAGGGTGAGCTCCTGACCTTCAGCCCAGCTCCCTGCCCACCTAGTGGATCGAAAACGGCAATGTGAGGAGATGAACAGGAACTGCATTAAGTGGGGAGGTATTTTAGACACAGCATTTCGATCAGAAAAAGGAGTAAAGTTTACGAACAAAGAAAGCTCTTTTGCAAGGGGATGGAGTAACGGTACCCCACCGCGGCTGGAACTGAGCACAGCCTCCAAAGTTACCGAAAGATGGGGAAAGCCTATATAAAAACCTCTATCTGTTGTCTGTCTCGTCATTTTATAATTGGCATTGAATGTTTGCTGAGGCCCCTTTGGGGTGAGAAGGGCAGAATATAAATACTGTAAATAAATATAAATAAATATTTTGTCAACACATGCATTGATATTTGTTCTATAGTGACTGAAAGGAGAGGACAAAGGGAATTGGTTATTTTACTGATTAAAATCCCTTTATATATCACAGCGCACAGTAGCTAGCTTCCTACCCTATAATTTGCTGATCCCAAATCTCATTTCCAAGTTCAAACCTGGAAGTGACACATTTCACCCTTGAAATTGCTTAATTGGTTCTCTATAACATATTGGGTCATCTTAATACCGAGATAAAAACGTGCAAAAATCTTTTTTTTTTCCTGATAGGTTTTCTTAACTGTTGGGAAACTTGCTTTTGATCTGAGAATGAAACATGATAGATACCCTTTCCACCCACAACATAGGCTTGTATTGGTGATAGGAAGTTAATAGCAATTTGAGTAAAATTGGAGTTTCAGAAAGAAAAATGGCAGATAGCATAATCTGAAAGCAATTCAGTGCCACTGTCTGGTTGTCACCTGCAAACCTCGGAGACCTCTTGGTCCACCCGGACCTTCTGGACCCTAAATAAGAAGAAGATAAATTATACCTGGACCACATATATAGAACAAGTCAACAGCTATAAAGCACAAACTAGACAAAATATATCAAAAGCTATTAAAACAGCTATAAAAATAAGATGTTTTAAATGGAGTTAATATGATTGTGTCACCTGCACACATCCTACCACAAGGCTACTCAAAACTAAGCAGATATACCTTTCTTCATTATGTTTGCCCAATGATCACAAGTGGCATGTGGCAACCAGGGCGTACTTGGTTGAGGTGCCTTTGTTGTTGTTCATTCGTTCAGCCGTCTCCGACTCTTCGTGACCTCATGGACCAGCCCACGCCAGAACTCCCTGTCAGCCGTCACCACCCCCAGCTCCTTCAAGGTCAGTCCAGTCACTTCAAGGATGCCATCCATCCATCTTGCCCTTGGTCGGCCCCTCTTCCTTTTGCTTTCCACTTTCCCCAGCATAATTGTCTTCTCTAGATGCCTAGATTTTTATTTATAGGGATGTAGGCATTATCTACAACTTCTTCTGGTCTATTTGAGTGTGTCCTTACAGTATTTGGAGTGGGAGGCAGGTATAAGGAGATGAATTTATTTTCTCAATAATAATATATGTTTCCAAGTTAGTCCTGTTGTATTGGAGGTGGTTTGATCCTGAAGTCTTAATTGGGTAAAGCTGTATTTCTTATTTTGTGTCAAAAGCATTGCATAAAACCGTTTTTCTAAAACTGATAAAATAGTTTATTTAAATCTGATAAAATAAAGGGATCACAAGCTGCTAGATAGTTTTAGACCAAAAATGGGCAACAGCGACTGCATTGTCTGTAGCTTTAAACAATTCTTCCTTTGTACATGAGGCAGGGCATTGTGGGCAAGAACACAGATGCTGAGTTGTTTGTTCTGCTCCATAGTCACACATGGTGGAGGATTCTTCTAGGTAGTGCCATTTTGTCAGGATGTCTCTTGAACTGCCCACTCCATCTCTGAGTCTGTTGAGGGACTTAGAGATTGACCATTCTTGGTTTGACCCTGGAGGAAGACCCTTGTGTGGGGCCATCCAGTTGAAATTGCTTGATTTTGCTGCCCACAGGGATATTCTTGCTATTGCTGGAGGAACATTTAGAGGAGTGGTGGTTCTCCTGAAACTTTTCCTTGATTTAAGTCTACTGGGAGGAGGCTGCTAGCCATACAGTAGATGGCTTTCACAAAGTTCAACCTTATTTATCTCACAATTGGCAGTAACTTCCTGTCACACATCTGGGGGGGGGGGGAATGCCAGCTATCTTATAGATTCTATTAACAGATGTAGGTTTAAGACATTCTGTGATTATTTTACATGTCTAATTAAGCTGTATGATCTCCAAGATGTTGAAGACAGAGACAGAGTTCAGCACCTTGGAGAACTTCTTTAAATATTATATTAAAATCCAGAGAAAGCTGATGAGAAAGCCCCCAATCACCACTATCAGGTATTGAGGATGAAGGCCTTATACAAGAATGTCTCTATACGTCTCTACCTGAGTCCAGTTGAACATAATTTCAGAACTAATGTAATTGAAAATCCTGATAACACCAAGTTCTTGCTCATGGAACTCCATATGTTCAACTGAATGCAGGAGAGGGAACTGTAGAGATTTAGAATGCTACTAGAAGGAAAGCAATGTTTAGGTGCAGGATTCACATGTACAATCATCACCCATCTTCATATATAACCCTAAGCATGAGCTGGCAAATGGCTAGATAAGGCTCTCGACCTATTCATCATGTGGTAAATGGCTTCTGGCAAAGATGCTAGAAGTGGTTGGTTGTCTTGATCCATATCTTTAATGGTATAGTTACTAGAACTGTATTGACAAATTTTAAATTAATCATCATTAAATTAACTGAACTTTAAAAGTTTCACTGCACTACTCATAATTACAACATCATTATAGGAATAGGTCCACTGGCTCAATGAGGAATGCAGCTTCAGAATGAATAGACAACCCCCTACATGATCTTCTTTCACGTTAACACTAATATTGCTACTTACTCTGTCACCTTTTATTCCTGGAGTTCCGCATTCACCTCTTTCACCCTTAGAGTTAAAAAAATGTAAATTAGTGTAACACATCACTAACATTATCTCAATGTATTAAAATATTTTGCAGTGATTTCTTCAATGCTTTCTTATTCACAACCATTCTCCTAACATTCTCATTATATTCTATTGTGTAAATGTATTTCAGATGTGATTTTTTGTCCTTAAATCCTATAAATAATATGGTTATCTCAGTCATTGACATGCAACAAAGTTGATCCAAGATGACTAAAACAATGTTTAAAATATCCATACCTTTTCTCCTTTGTATCCAGACTTTCCCTTATTGGAAAAAAAAGACATAAGATGCACATTGACAAAATTAGTATTGGCACTGCTTAACTAGGATATTTCTCAAGTTACTTCTGACATTAAAAAAACTGGGATATTTAGGACACTAAGGAAAGAAAGCCTATCTATTAATGTGGAATGGAATGCTTTTCTGAAATTTGGAATTGGTTAATATAACCAGAGCTTGAGTTGACTCTCTAATGACTGTTGCTGTTAGAGGATTACCTGCATACCTTGCACACCTACAGTACAATAAGGTTCTATGGACCATAATAAAATGTTGTTATTGTTGACTGTTTGCCTTGCATTTGATAGGGAGCAGAAGGAGTGCCAGTTAAGTGTAGTGATTTGAGCATTGGACCATGACTCAGGAATCCAGGATTTGAATCTCCACTCAACTATGGAAACTCACTGGGTGACCTTTGGCAAGACATGCTCTCTCACCCTCAGAGGAAGGCAAAGGTAAACACCCCCTGAAATCATTTTGTTAAGAAAACCTCATGACAAGCTCACCCTAAGGTTGCTATAAGTTGGAAACAACTTGAAGGCACACAACAATACAACAGGGAGCTGAAGCAGCACAATAGGTACAATTTCAGGTTCAGTGGTATTTTACACACAAAACCCTTATCTGCCTCATTCCATTTTTGTGTGACATTTTTAAAGCACCAAAGGAGCAAGTAGTGTGCATTGTTTTAATTTTTGCTTCAGCAGGGAAAACTAAGGTTGACACTACAAATGTCATAACAACTGATTGCTTCAATGATGTAGTGTTTACTTCAGAGTTTTCAGTTACTGTCTACAGCACTGAAAACTGTTTTTAGAGGGGTTCAGTGCCTTGGATGGCTCCTCCAAAGTTAATTTTACACACCAGACTGGATTCAGCAGAACACTTACATGGTAGCTACCAGTCACTACTGTGTTAATGTCTAATGGGTTCCAATATTAAACCATGTCTGATGTCAGGCCAAACCATGGATCACGACCCATTATCATAATGTGTGCAAGTGTGTACATTTAGAGAACCTAGAAAGGCATCAATTTATTTCAGAACAAATGGTTCACAGAACCTACAATGTTTTACCTCAATTCCATCTCTTCCTGGAATTCCATTTAGACCTGATTCTCCCTAGAAATAACAGGATATTTATTATTATTATTATTATTATTATTATTATTATTATTATATTATTTTACTGACACACAAACACAATATGTCACAGCAAATGAGATCTATATGCTGGATTTTGTATCACAAAATTACAAGTCGAACACTTCCCAAGCATCTAGGACTGTTATTATTATTATTATTATTAATACAATGCTTTTTTGTGTCAGGAGCGACTTGAGAAACTGCAAGTCACTTCTGATGTGAGAGAATTGGCCATCTGCAAGGATGTTGCCCAGGGGATGCCCGGATGTTTTTGATATTTTACCATCATTGTGGGGGGCTTCTCTCATGTCCCCGCATGGGGAGCTGACATAGGGAGCTCATCCGCGCTCTCCCCGGATTCGAACCTGCGACCTGTTGGTCTTCAGTCCTGCAGGCACAAGGGTTTAACCCATTGCGCCACCAGGGGCTGAAACCATTAAGTTGGTTAAATACTATACTATGTTTCGTTATCTTCATATTGAACCGTATTTTCAAATACAATAATGGACAAAACTTTCAGACCAGTCCTCCTTTCAAACATGCATTTTAGTTTTAAACATGCATTGCAATTCAATCTTGAAATAGTTCATACATCTTCAGTTCTAAACTTCACCATGTAATGGTGGAACAGATTTTTATTTCAGTATCTGTCCTTCTGTATACAACCATTCAGAAATTGCTTACCCTGCTTTCTTCAACATGGTAAGCTTTTTCTCACCTTTTTTCTTTCCTTGCATAGAAAGCAATGTATCTACTGAACAGAAGTTACTGTTCACATGGTTTTTCTCCCCATGAAGAAAAACTCTGGAAAAATGAAGAATCCTCCACATGAACAGCATCCTTTACTTTTCAGACACATCACAATTTTCTCTGCAAAAAGTCTGATAGAGGAGGAAACTGAGAACACACACACCACTGTTCCCATGGTGAAGAAAGAAGAGCAAGTTATGCAGATCTGAAGAGACCTCATGAGTACTATTAATTTCTATACATTTTAATTATACTGCAAATGCAAAGATACCTTTACTCCTTTTGGTCCAGAAGCTCCATCATCACCAGGACGGCCCTTTTTACCCTGAAAGAAGAAGAAAAGGGTGGAACATCAACACAAGGCCTCATCTTCATAGATTCATAGAATCCTAGAGTTGGAAGAGACCTCATGGGCCATCCAGTCCAACCCCTGCCAAGAAGCAGGAATATTGCATTCAAAGCACCCCTGACAGATGGCTATCCAGCCTCTGTTTAAAAGCTTCCAAAGAAGGAGCCTCCACCACACTCCAGGGCAGAGAGTTCCACTGCTGAACAGCTCTCACAGTCAGGAAGTTCTTCCTCATGTTCAGATGGAATTTCCTTCAAACTTCCTTGACTAGCTGCAAATTGTTTTTATGCTTTTGTTGCTTCATATTGATTTAGCTTTATATATTTTGTTGTTTTTGTTGTTAAGAAAATGATTAAACAGCTAGGAAGAAATTACTCAAATTGTAAAGATTTATATCCACAGCTGAAGTTTAAAATGGGTCTTGCTTGAATAAGATTTGTCATGCAAACTAATGTTTACAATGACTGGAATTTTCTTATTTATTTATTTATTTATTTATTTATTTATTTATCTATCTATCTATCTATCTATCTATTTACAGCATTTCTATTCCACCCTTCTCACCCTGAAGAGGATTCAGGGCAGATCACAGAACATATACATGGCAAGCATTCAAAGCCATTAAACAGACTTGACAGATAACAGATAGAGGTATGTGTCGGCATTTTCCCCAACTTTGGCATCCTGGAAGTTGTGCTCGATTCCGACCTCCAATGCATTTTAGGATTGTTTGGGGATTTTGGTAGTCTGTTTGGCCCCTGAAGGGTTCCAATATAGGAAGTTGGTCCTTAGATCTGCTCCAGTTGCCCACATCTGTAAAACCCACAGGCTGACCTTGGGAAAGTCATACACCCTTAGCCTCAGAAAATTGACTTGAAGGCACATAAGAACAACAAACCCTACGAAAATCATGGGACTCTATCCTCTATGATGAAGAGCCCTTGATCACAGACTTTCTCCTTTCTTTGATCACCGGCATTTTCTGGTACTTCTTTTTTATGCTGCCATAAAATACCTCCATGCTTAAGCAGTGCCTAATTTCTATCCTCACAATTCACAGCTGTTTTCAAACTGCTTAGGTGGACAGTGAGCTGGGCTGAAGGTCAGGTGCTCATCCTGACCCAGGCTTCGAACTGCCATCCTTTCGATTGGTGTGACCTATTGCTGCTGTGCTAAAGCCCTTAGGGTCTTACGGATGTGTAGTTAGAGTGCTATGCAATGAATTGCACCTTTATCCCACCCCAATCCCCACTTACTGGGAAAAAGCAGTTGCTATTGATTGAGGTCTGTCCGTTGTGTAAGCAATATCCAGTATGATAAGCAGAACCAGGATCCCTGTTGTAATTCACCCTTGCACTGGAGAACACTTGTGCAAGTGGTGGGTTTAGCTAATTGTTTCCCAATCCATAGGGTAACAGACCACAATTGATCACAGCAGCTGCTTCCCAGTAAGTGAACTTTGGAGAACTTTCACAGTCTCTATGTGGCCCATAAACTGGGGGCTATTTAGGAGTTGTGAATAGCAATGAGCAAATAACTCTAGGTTATGCATTTGTAACTACTCAACAGGATTTTGGTCTTTTTTTCCTTCCTTACCTCTTTCCTTCTAGTTTATAATAACACATTTATTATTGTTAATTTTCCAACACCATTTTGCTTATTTTTGTTACTTTTCAGCAGTGAATGCATGAACTGAGATGTTTAATGAAGTATTTCTTATGCTCTATATAACAAGAGATGTACCACCCAACATTTCCTTAAAAGAAACTAACTTTAAAATCACGTTAATATTATTGAACAATTAAAACAAACAGACTGAAATACTGGTGACCAGATCATAATCTCACCAGGTGATCAAATAACTTGCCTAATACCTAAGATTCCTTTAACAACTCTTGTCAAAACCCACCATGGATATGTTCTGAAGCAAGAAGGGCAGGAAGGAACATGTTAGGATATTTTGTTTTATTTTGAAATCTGAAGCTTTTAAAACGAAAGAGTTACAGCACAATCTCACATATGTTCACTCAGCAGTTAGTCGCACTACTTTCACTGAAGCTTACTTCCAAGTAAGCAATACAAGACTATACCATGTTTTTCAGGGTTTTTTTAAAAGTCTTGATATTGTTTTTAAATGCTTTCAAAAGTTTTTGTGTAAATAGGGTTGTCAGACTGAGAACTGAAGACAGTTCCTGCAACCAGGTTAATAAGCATCACCTGCCAAAATTCCCTTTTCTATACAACCATTAAAGATACAGGAAATGGTCACTAGTTTTTACTCTGGCCACGAAAGTGTTTCTTGTGGCCTTTGCTGGAGTAAATGAAGATGAGAAGTGCAGTTTTAGCTGGTACATACACAACTGGAAGTGTTCATTTGACTTCTTGGGAGAAGCATTGTGACATGAGACGCCATTTCAACTTTTATCAAAAAGGTTTTCTTGGCAAGATTTATTCAGAGAGAGGCCTTTTCTTTGGCTGAGAGCACGTGACTTGGCCAAGGTCATCCATGGGTTTCCATGCTCGAGTGAGGATTCAAAGTCTGTGTTGTTGAGAGCTTTCATGGCTGGAATCAATGGGTTGCTGTGGGTTTTCCAGGTTGTATGGCCATATTCCAGAAGCACTCTATCCTGAGGTTTCATTTCAAATTGCTATATTCACCTTGGAGTTTCAAAGCCTGGCTGGTTGCTGCCTTGGGGGATCCTTTGTTGGGAGGTCCTTTCTCCCACCCTGGACCTTCCACAGATATATAAACTTCACTTACTTCTTTTCCAACAGACCCCTTGACCTCTGAGGATGCCTGCTATAGATGTGGGTCAGGAGAGAATGCTTCTGGAACATGGCCATACAGGCCGAAAAATTCACAGCAATCCAGATTTAAACTCTGTTCTGTGGCCATAAACCAATACTCAAATCACTACACTAACCTGGCTCTCCAGCCCAATGTATATGCATGTATTAAAACATAGTGAAACCTGATGTATACTTAGCATTCATCCTTCATTCAATGAAGATAAAGAATGACTTAGAACTCAAAAAAGCTACTTTTTAAAATTCATGTTTCCAGAATCCAGCAATCAGATTGGCCAGTGATCATGATGTCTAGGGGGAATTTCAGCCCCAAAGGATAATTTTTCCAAGTTCTGGTATATGTGTCAGCCTTGCTGGAATATACAGCTATTGCTTCCAAAGGATCATTTCATGAATGAGGCATCAACCACCCAAATCAAACCCTATTTACAATGATCATTAAGCATAAGAAGAAAGTTAATGGAAAAGAATGGCTACTTACAGCAGGGCCAGGAAGACCCCTTTCTCCTTTTTCACAGTTACATATTGGAGGCTGGGGACACTTTGAACAAAAATGAATGACACATATTAATGACCAGTTGGAGCTGAATTGTCTAGCTAACAGACCTATATCACCTAATTAAAAGTACTAAAGATGTAAGTTTTAAACAGCATTCGGAAACAGCTGTATTATATATATCTATATACATCTATCTAGATCTTCTTTTTCACACAATGTTCACCTGCTTATATTTAGAATTTGGTACACAATTTCATATCTTTCTTTCTATTGAACCTAGGAATGTACAAATACTGCACCCAAACATTCATTTTCCTTATGTGGAAGTCTATTTGTGTGAAGCTTGAAATGGCAATATGTTACTTGGGTGGGAGGCTTCAAGATGCCTGTTAACTCATGATGACCCCATGAATTTCACAAGGTTTTCTTAGGCAAGGAATACTCAAAGGTGGTTTTGCAGTTTCCTTCCTCTGAAATACAGCCTAGAGCCTCTGGTATTCGTTGGTGTCCTCCCATCCAAGTACACCAGAGCTGATCCTATTTGTTCTCCAAGATCTGACAGGATCTGGTGCCTTTAGGGTATTTAGGCCCTAGACGCACCTTAATGATCACAATATGCTTGTGAGTTGCAGTGCAAGTCTATCGGGTGCGAGGGGCTTGAAAACTTCTGAATGTCAGTTAAGTTATACTGTCCAAGATGAGATATATGATGGATCCAGTTTTGGTTCCTGATATATATTTTATGTTCTTATTTATATTTTTATATATATTTGCTTTACTCATAACTTCATGTATTAAAATATACAAGCACATTTCTTATCAGGTTAAACTTTAAAACGTTTCAGTTTGTATCTTTAATTTATAATCTTTAACAGTCTCTTCAAAAACTATATTGCTCTGTACAGTTCTCTTTCATAACAGTCTGCTTTCAAAGAAAACTCAAGCCTCAACAGTTTTCTAACTCCCTACAATGACTTCTGTACTCAGAAAGACTTCTGTACTCAAAAAGACTTCTGTAGTCAAGCTGGCTTAAGACTCAACTATAATCCTTTTAAAAAGGGCATTCTAAACAGTCACATGATCTACAGCCCCTCCCACTGCCTCAAGTACATAGAGCTAAGGAAACTGCAAACCAAAGAAGACATACACTTCAGGAAATAAACAGGCAAAACATTAAATAGAGGAGGCTTGAGAAGGCTGCTGTCTCTAACAATTTGTAGATTAGGGAGAAGGCTTTAGTAAATCTTTGGATATCAGGGTGCAAGTTGGCAGGAACTGCCATATAATCAATTGTAGTAGCTCCCCTATTGGAGACATAGGTATAGGCACCCTGCCTTATGTCATGCTGGGTTCCATTGAGACATTGCAAATGAAGACCTCTGAGAAACTCTGACCTGACTTGTTTCTGATTATATATTGAGAAACCCTGGCAGCACGTGTAGCCTGACTCACCTGTCCAAAGTTACTTCCTTCTACTTGTTTCACACGCTCCCTAATTCTAGCATTAAAATCTCCCCACAAGAGGAGCTTTGTGGAGGGATACTGATATTATAAATGGGTGAGAGTTTCAGATAGGCAAATCCAGACATTATTAGGGCCTCAATATTTATAGTCTTTGCTATTATCCATTGTTTCCAGTGTCCTTGGTAGGTTCAGGAATATATCCCTCATAAATATGAGAGGGGGTTATACTGTATTCAGAATACTGCAACAAGCAGATGTATCAAAGACCAAACATGTGTATATTTCCTTATTGCTGTATCGAAGAAATGTTTTGTCATTTAATAAGACATTTTCTTATTTTTCTATTTATATTGTAACATTGAAATGACATTAACATAATATTTATTTAGAGGGGAAATTAAATATTTTGTAATGCCTGCACATTCACTCAAGGTAACACTACCCTTTAAAATGGCATAACTGCCTGATAAAATGAGATAACAATCCCTTTTCCAGTTTCATTCTTTAATTTTCATTTTGAAAGCATTCTTTTACATTCAAACAAATTCCTCCACCACCTCAACAGTAAGACTTACCCCTTCTTCTACCAGAACTTTCTGGGGAGACAGATAAGCAGAAACAAAATTAGAGCTAGACATTAAGCAGACTTTAAGGCAAAAAACTCACAATGCTTTGCCAGTTACAAGATGTTTTCAACAAGAAGTCCTGCAACTAGTGATACCATGCAATTGCCAACTTTGATTGACAAAATGGCGATACCTTCAACTAGATAACTGGCATAAATCAATAAGGTGGTTTGCTTCATTGTAGTGTTGATGATTAGCTCTTATGTTCAGTGTCAGAGCCAGGAGGAATCATATGACATTGTAAGTGGGGCCAAACATGACCTTGCTCCCTGTTTCAAGACATTTTGTCCATTTGTGGGAGAAACGTGTGATAGAAGCATCTCTTCTTCTACAAAACGGTTGATCACCAATGCTAGTCCAATCTATCTAAACAGCTTACACAGTAGAAACATAAACCTGAGACTTCTCCCAGCAGTGGCAGACAGGTAAGGACACAAGCTATTATTATATTGGGATTTCTCTAAAAACTAACATAACACTGAAGTAGTTCAGTCTGTAGTGGGGCAGGAAGAGACATAATTTGGATGTCCCAAAACCAAAGCAATTGCAGAGGGATGTGGATTTAGTATTTCAAATGATCATGATAAGAACGAATTAATAATGGCAGCAGCATAATCTCTCCTAACTTCACACTGAAAGATCATTGAATTGGTTCCTCAACTGATGCTCCATATATGAGGTGGGGAATTGTATGTGGGTGTGATTGTTTGCAATTTTGCTGACCTGTATGTAGTGCTAAGCCAGCATAAGGAAGTGTATAAAAGAGGTGTTGTTTCATTTCTTTGGCTTGTGTCTCACTTTTCTTCCAAAGAAGCTAACAGCATATTCAAATAAAATAAAATAATATAACTATTAAGATATATACACATTTATAGTCTTTCAAACGTTTTGAAATGCTATCTTAATAAATATATCAAAACATTAAACGTTGAACAAATCTACTTAAGCCAACTGGGACGTTTAAACAGCAGCTGAAAAAGCAGGACAGGAAAGGATTAATTAGGACTGTCCCTGCCAACTTCGGACACTTGGCATATATTTTAGTTTCAGTTAGACAGTTAAAGTGTCCCGAATGAAAAAAATCTTTTGTGAAACAACAGAGAGGGTATTCCCTTAATCTCCCTGGTTATTCTATGGTCTATTATTCTTGTGAAATCACAAATAAAGAAAGACTAGAAAAGACTTGAAGGACCTCATCAGATGGGCCGCCAGAATTGCCACGCATTGTGGTGAATCCGGCGGTGTCCCTCAGGGGGCATGGGGAAACTGTCGCCCCACATCGCCCAACTTACCTATCGCCCTATCACAAGAGGGGAAGTATTGACTGCCTGGCTTTCCCACATTGAAGCCCCCTGTGTTGCTGCAGTGGTGGCATGCGCCAATTCGTCTATCCTTTTGTGACAGAGCCCTGCCCAGAAGTTGTTCTACATTGTGGGATGGGAGCTAGCAGGCTCTGTCGCAAAAGTATAGATGAACTGGTGCATGCCACCAAAAAGTACCCCATCTGATGAGGTCATAAGAAACTAGGGTCACAAAAGTGGATGGCCTGGGTCCTTGACAAAAAAAGGAAATTCAAAACATTTTCCACATGGAAAGCACAGTAGCAATAAACATCTTGCCTGGAATAACCACTACACATTCCAAAAACTTTGGTATCTTACCAAATATAAAATGCTAAAAAGAGAAACACACTTTTCAAGAAGGACAACAAGACAGTAAAAACAAAAGGCTTGCTTCAGATTTGTGGTGTAGTCATATATGGGTCCTGGGTAAAGTGCCCTCTAATATAATATGGTGTCTATCTGCAGAGGGAGATGATCATTTTTCCCCCCAGTGTGCCAGGGGCTGGTATAGAATTTGTGCCCATTGGCTACTAGTGCTTTTTTACCTTTCTAGAAACTCCCCAGGGACTGGCAACCAATGGCTTAGGAACCAGTACTGATCCACAGACCACCTCCTTTTTTGGTGGACCCTTCTGCATGTACCTGGACATGGTGTCAGCACCATGGGGGAGGCCAGAAGCCATCACTATTATTTATGGCAATACTTTAGGTCACCTGATGAAGCTTCAGTTCAAAACTTTGTGGAAAATGGTTGGAGTAGGAGTAGGTAATGAATGCATCTAAGGCCTTCGGGACTGCTATATGGCATTGACAACTGGCCTTAAATTCTTATTTATTGAATAAAATTATAAAATCGTAGAAAGAAGCAACCTTTTCCTACAGCTGGAGAAAAATCGAGAGAGAACAAAGAGAAACCATGCACAAATAACTAGAACATGTAGCCTGTGGAGGCATAACCTTTCCTGATATGCTTGCTTTTGACTACAGGCCACATAATCCATAGATAGCATGACTAAATCTGATGGGACCTATAATCCATCACATCTGGAAGGCACCTAATTGAGTGAGGAAGGGATATACTCCCTCAAGAACTAAACGTTCCCGGATTTCTTAGCTCTTACTGGCATTTTCTGTGCCCAAACAGGAGGAAAGCAATAGCAAAAACAGAGATCCCCAGGACAGTAGGAGCCAATCCTCCTGCTAACAAGATTTATGGCCCCTAGATGATATGTGCATAGATGAGTTAGACCTCTGACCTGCATAGTGTTCAGAAGAACTGAACGTGGATCTCAGGACAAGAGACTGAGACTAAAAGGCTTTTGTCATTCACTCATGCATAATTAATAGACATACGTGCTCTACTGCCATGTCCGGCTATAAAAGCAAATCAGGCAGTGAGGACTGTAAAAACTATACACAAAGAAACCCAAAGAACTATGGGACACTGATCAAAACAGACGTGGCCTTTTGTGAGTGGGAAGTAGAAAGAGCAAGCACTATTACAAGTTTGTACTGGGTCCAACAAATGTCTGAGCCATGATTGTGCTTGCAAACTTCAGCAGAAGTTTAAAGGGGATATAACCAAATGTTCTTAATTTATTTACCAGGGCTTGTCTATATTGTATTATCAAACTGTCAGTGTTCAGTGTAGATAGCTGGCCTTCAGGTAGAAAAGAAAACCCAAGATGTGGGTGATAAAATGCACTAGTATGGGGGAGATGTGGTTGTCAAAGCTTTGCTGAACTACTAAACACATTATGCTTTATCATTGGCCAGAATGTAGGGCTTGTTCACATTGGTCATCACTGAGGTCCATCTACACTGCCATATAATCCAGTTTCAGAATGGAGATTAACTGAATTGAACTGGATTCTATGGCAGTGTAGACTCATATAATCCAACTCAATGCAATTAAATCTGCATTATATGAATCTATTCTACACTAACCATTATAATGCAATTCATTATAATGCATTATATGGCAGCGTAGTTGGGGCCAGAGTTTGGTTGAATCTGTTTTCCTGTGGTTTCAATCCACTGCTCTGTGCCTTAACTCTGGAGCAGCAGAACATAAGATTGCTCCTTCTCAATATGACAATATTTCAAATATTTAAACATGCCCCTTCTTAACCTTCTCTTCTCCAAACTAAATAGACCCAGTGGTTTGGTTTCCAAATTTTTAAAATAATTTTGGTTGTCCTTCTCCAGACACATTCCAACATATTGATAACCTTCCAGAGTTGCGGTGCCCAGAACTGGACACAGTGTTTCTTGATCTAGAAACTATACAACTGATGCAGCCAAGAATTGCATTGGCTTTTTGATCTGCCTCATCACACTGTTGACTCACGTTCAGTTTGTGGTGTAGTTAGACTCTTAGATCGCTTTCACGTGAGTGTCACCCTCATATATATCTATGAATTTCATTTTTCTGCCAAAGTGTAGCACCATACATTTCTCCCTGTTGAAATTCTTCTTGTTAGTTTTGGCCCAGTTCTCCAATCTGCTAAGGGCATTAGCACTTGAAAATGTAGGGTGGCAGAGGACTAATTGGGACTGTCCCTGCCAAATCAAGACAGTTGGAGGGTATGCCAAAGCTTAGATAACATTCAAACTATAACCCCTCCATCCACAAAGAATTAAAAAGGAAAGCACATTAGTGCCAATTGTCCTTTATACACCTTTCATAGTACAAGTGCAATATAGATGCTTTATATGCAGGGCTGACCAGATAGTTGTTCCTACCATTTCTTTGAGAATTTTCTCCGCAACTCCTGTCTCCTGCAGATTGAAGACAAACCTGGATGCTGGAACACTGGCTAGGAGCCGGAGCTTGGCAGCGTTGGCCACCTCCTCAGCCACTCTGGTCATTCCCACTGTGAAGAACACAATACCTTGATGCTTAGCATCAGCTGTAGCTGAGAAAATATCAGGGTTCCTTGGATGGTCCACACCATCAGTCAAAAGGATAGCTACTTTAACACTACCATGCGTTCCTTCAGTCATATACAGCTGTGTGAGATTGGTGATGGCATAAGTGGTGTAGGTGCCATGGCCAATGTAGGTTATGGGAGCAATACGGGACTTAAAAGCATCCGGGCCCTTCCAATCTTTGAATGTTTGCTCTATGAGAACAGTGCTGCTATATTGAATCAGAGCAATCCTCCAGCTCAGATGGCGATTGGAGCTGAGTTGCAGTCCATTCATTCTATTCACTGTTTCCAAAACAAACTTTTTCTGCTGTTCATGGTTGAAATTCTTGGCACTCTCTGAACTGTCCAGGAGGAAAGCCATTTCCAGAATACAGTCTTCATCTAGAATCACATAGAAAAAAAATCAGCTTAACACTGAAGCAATGACTCATCCTCTCTTATAACATCTTTCAGGGATGCTTGGAACACCCCTATGCCCATACCAAGGATCACTAGTATAGCCCCTCCTCTGGCCATTACACACTCATGGCCTTTTGCTGTTCAGCAGTTATTCTACATTAGATTGTCCTCCAATTTAAAGGCAAGAACATGATGAAGAATTTTTAGATAAAGTTATAGAGAAAAATATTACAACACAATTGTATTATAATGAGTTATCAATAGTTGACTTCTACCTGTACAGTGCAATCCTATACATGTCTTCTCAGAGGTAATCCCCACTGAGAGTAATGCTACCAGTTGATTCATGCATATGGAGAGAAGTTGGTAAAGCCATACATTTTTGGAAAGCGACTCACAACTAGCTATGCTACTTGGGGCTGCTGGGAGTTGCAGCTCAGGAACATCTGCGGAGACAGCACAAATTGCATCTCTGGAATATGTAATTGCAGCCTCAAATTGTGTACTTATGACAAAGTGCTACTGTTACTCCATTCAAACACAGAAGTTCTGGAGATTTTGAGAAGGGAGTTGAATAGAGAATTCCGATCAAGATCCTGTTGAATCTAGACAAATAAATATGTTGACAACTGGCACTAAAGGAGCATCTGCACCATCCAAAAAAGTTGATCCTCCTTTAATTGTCATGGCTCCAGGCTGATGAATCCTAAAAGGTGTAGATTGATTCAGTGTGGTGTAGTGAGATACTTAGAGTTCTCTGCTATAGAGCTTTGTAAGGTATGTGGGACTTCCGTGTATATTTTAGTAAACGCATTTTAGAATCAAATGTCTGTGCACATGAAGGAACTCCACATTACACTGGCAGATGCCTGGTGATTGGAGGTGAACACAATAATGTAATAATAGCACTGTGTGTGACTTTGTTAAAAAGAGTGTAGGGGTACTCATAGCAGATCAAACCAAAGCTCTATCTAGACCAACACCCTGTTCAGACCAGCCATGCCGATCCCTACTGAGAAGCCCGCTACCAGGACATAAGTATAATGGCACCTTCTCATTTGTGAGAGTGTAATGCTGTAAGTCAACAAGAATAATAGCTCTTGGGTGTACTTATATGTAATATATGAACATTCTCATCAGGCATCCAGTATAGGCACAAGTGTAGGATCCAAAGTTTTGTGTTTTCCAAACTATAGCCCCACATGTCATACTGTAAGCCATTTCTGAAACTGAAAATGAGCTGAGGTTTCTGATGCTTGGGACATGTGTCAAATATTCCATTGCCTAGCTGATTGGAATGCCTAGATATTGATCAAGATTAGGAAATCTATGGTATCAAAGGTTTTTAAAAAGTAATAGAAATTATCTTCCTTGTTATTATCATATACATAGGAAATTGTCATATGACCTCATCAGACAGGGTACTTTATGGCGACATGCACCAATTCATTTTTACTTTTGCGACAGAGCCCAGCAACTCCTATCCCACAATGTAGAGCTACTTCTGGCTGGGCTCTGTCATAAAAGTAAAGATGAACTGGTGCATACCACTGCGGTGGCAACACAGGAAGCTTCTCCTGTTGTATTGGATCAACAAGGAGAAAACAGGCAGCTGGTGCTTCTCCCTTTAGAGTGGGGCAGTGGGTAAATCGGGCAAAGTGGGTCGTGGGGCGACGTGTGGCAATTCCAATGGCCCATCTGATGAGGTCCTTACAATAAACAAACCATGGGGAACCATCGGGAACATTAATTGGTCATATAAGATTCCATGGGTGGTTGAATTTTAACTCCCATCGGCCAGTATAGGCAATGGGTTATATGAGATGCAATCTAGTAAAATTTGGATGGCCACATGATTCTCTTCCATGATTCAGGAGAATCTTGTCTATTGAAATTGAAAGTAGCTAATTATAAATGACGTGGTTACCTGTAACTCATTATTTTTGTATGGGGGTGGGGACACACAATGATGTTACTTTTCAAAGTAACAAATTGGATTAATTAACGTATACCTGTACACCCACAATAGCTTAATGAACAATGCTTTCTACTTAAATTGTAAGGGTTAAAAGTGCAAACAGAAACATTAAGGTAAAGATTTCCCCTTGACATTAAGTCTAGTCGTGTCTGGCTCTGGGGAGTGGTGCTCATCTCTATTTCTAAGGCAAAGAGCCAGCATTGTCTGTAAACACCTTTGGTCATGTGACCAGTATGACTGAATGGAACGCTGTTACCTTCCTGCTGAAGTAGTACCTATCGATTGGCTCACATTTGCATGTTTTTGAATTACTAGGTTGGCAGAAGCTGGGGCTAACAGCAGGAGCCCACCCCGCTCCCCAGATTCGAACTGCCAACCTTTCAGTCAGCAAATTCAGCAGCTCGGCGATTTAACCTGCTGCACCATCAGGGGGCCCAAAAATTACAACAGTATAAAACAGCAAATAACTTATTGAAGAACTTTTTTTGTGTGTGATTGCAACGCTGAATATTCACCTCGGGAAAAGTGTTGTAATGGGCTATGAAATGAATTACTTTTAAACTCTGCGACTGACTTTTTCAGGTTTGAGGGAGGAGTCTCTCCTGAAAAAACAATCTTGCTCCTTTGTGTGAAAAGCAAGCACTCTACCATCGGGCAATGGCTCTTTTCTATAACCATGCTTAAGACACTAAAAAGCTTTAAGGTCACTGAATTCCTGCAGATTAAAATAAATTACAGGCCCAGGAAAGACAATTTTAAAGAAATCTGTTAAAAATACAAATAGTCACCTTGGTCACTTGAACTTGGATATTTTTCTACTGCATTTGACAAGAAAGGCTTTGGTTTGTGTTTTCTTACTCCACTTCTCTTTTCTTCATTGGTGTTTTGTGCCACAAAAGCATGGTGGTCCATTAGAAATAAAAACCACCACAATCTGAAGAACATGGTTTGCTTTATTTTCCCAAAAAAACACAAGAGAGAACAATGTCAAAAAGCTGGTTTAACGCACAAATAGAATGAAATGCAGACCAGACTTATAAATGTAGCAGATCAACACATGCATATTTTGTAAAGCAGGCCTTTGTCATTTCTGCATTTAAGTATGGAATCCAATATTTCATAAGAATTTGGACTTAGCAGTTATCACTTGCATTGAAACCAGTGTGCAGATGCAGCAATATTTTTCATAGTATTTACTGAGAAGAAAGAGACATAACAGGAGAAAGAGAGCAGTGGGAGATGTGGCAAATTTATATCTTTCCTTTCTTTAAGGAGCTGAAAGCACCTTTTGTACATTAGATTTACCCCTTGTTCTTGCAGGCATTGAAACTTTGCAGATAGGGTTTGATTGTTAGCTGAATAGCAGTACAACACCAAGTTTGGGTGCACTTTACACATCATAATATCAAACAGTAGATAAAAATAATTTGAATCTACTATTGCATGAGTTTAAATATGCTCGAGTCACAAAGGTTTCCTTATATTTTTTCCACTCTGCAGACCCCTGCAATCCTTCACAGCAGATTTGGAAAGGGGTCCTGGCAAGTGCAACTGTAAAAGGAGGGAAACTAGATCTCCCAGCAGTGTCTATTCTATCAGTAGAAGGACAGCACTGGATACAATGGAATATTGTTTAGGCCAAAGCCATTTACAATGGCTCTGCAAGATAGGCTGAAAGATAGAAATTTGCCCCAAATACATACTTTGTAGTCAACCAAGTATTTAAACACTTACCCCTGCATCCTAACTACCATAACATAACGGGCTGGTTCCATATTTTATATATCACACAAATTTCCTGAACTTTGCAATTTGTGAAACTGTGTGATAAAGAAGTCAAGGTTTAGGCTTAGCAGCATTTGGGCAGAACTCTGCAGCTGTCATTTCTTACCTAGTGGGCCGAATGCAACTCAAAATGTATTCATTTTTGTTTTTATAGATATTATTGTTCTTTTATATTACATTTTAATTGTTTTTATAATTGGTTTTAACTGTACCCTGATATTGTTATGGCATCAAATCGCTGCCGACTGTGAACTGCCTTGAGTCACCTCTGGCTGAGAAAGGAGGTATAAAAATGTAGTAAATAAATAAATAAAATTCATCCACAGGCAAAGATCAGGCAGTTACACTATAATTTTATTTGAAGCAATGTGTCTGTTTAAAAAGGCATGCGTTATGTATGAAAAAAGTCAATGTCATAAAGCTTTAGTAAGCACAATTAGAACAATGGAGCGGGTCATAAATATTTATTTATTTACTTACTTAGAATCATACAGTCATAGAGTTGAAAGAGACCTCATGGGCCATCCAGTCCAACCCCCTGCCAAGAAGCAGGAAAATTGCATTCAAAGCACCCCCAACAGATGGCCATCCAGCCTCTGTTTAAAAGCCTCCAAAGAAGGAGCCTCCACCACACTCCGGGGCAGAGAGTTCCACTGCTGAACAGCTCTCACAGTCACGAAGTTCTTCCTAATGTTCAGGTGGAATCTCCTTTCCTGTAGTTTGAAGCCATTGTTCCACGTCCTAGTCTCCAGGGCAGCAGAAAACCAGTTTTTTTTTCCTTGCTCAATGCCACATTCTTTATGTACCATATTAATCACTTCAATGCCAGTCACGTGAAAAACATTAACAGCATTAAACATCATCAGATGGCTGTGTCATGGTTTCAGCAGAGAAAGGGGGAGGGAGAGAGGGCAAAAGAAGAACGATGCCCCACACCACTCTGAAATTTTCATTCAGTCCTCAAATTCTAGCATGGTAGTGACTTAAAACTTCAGTCAAGCATTTAGAAATATGATTTAGACACCCAAGGAAAAGGAGCAAGGAAAGTTTACAGGAGAATTAGAACACATCAGCTGTAAGAATTTGGGTTGTGAACTATTTCCAATGTCTCCCCCTTTGCAATGCTAGACACTTGGGGACCGAAGGTAATTTAAACTGGGGGCAGAGTTGTTTTATATGGGGGAACAATATCCACAATTTGCTTCTCTTCTTCATAGCTATGCCAGGCCATAAAGCTTTGAGATAAAGGAGTTACAATGAAAAGTCTACAAGAATCTAACTCCCTCTTGAACACTGATGCTGTCAATAGAAGGTGTTTTAGTTCTTGTGCAGCTGATATACAAAGTGAGTGAGAGATGGGGACAGAGGGGAAAGGGAGAGGAAAAGAGGCTTACCTCTGTCTTGGTAAATGCAGGGGATGCAGTGAAGGACAAATGCTGTTTTCTAGAGAATAGATCCTTGCCTGATGTTGCTGTCTTGGATGATTATGACCAGCAAATAGGTCTTCTTTCTAACAGTGAGGAGGGGTGGGACTCAGAGAAGGAATCGTACAAGAAGAGAAAGAAGAAAGTGAGACAAAGAAAGCAGACCACTCCCCTCACTCATCTGGATCCCCACCAACAATTACTTACATTCACTCTTAAGGCACATTTCTTGTTCTGTTCCTATTGGGGATAAGTAAATGTGATTGTGGTAATATAGCTAAGGCCATTTCTTAAGCCATCAGCATGAAAGCGTTTTGTAACTTATCAGGGAAGTTTTTCCTTAGAGAACTTAGATAAGGCTGTGTGTCTGTAACATAAGTAAAACATGTGATCCCAAGGGGAGCAGAAATCTAGAATATCCAAATCCATTCAATAGTTAGGATTCATTATTTGCAGAAAAGATTAATTTCGTACTTCAGGTTAACATAAAAGGCAGTCTAGATCAGATTTCTTTACATTGGAGCCATGGAAAAAAATAGTTTCTGAGAGCAAACCCAACTTTTTGTGGGACTTTGTGTGTTTGTGTGTATGTATTTATCCATTTTTAAAAATGGGGTGGGGGTGGGACTCAGGTCTCTGGCAGTTTCAGAGAACTCACATATTCACAGGCTGCACCTTCTCCACCCTTGATCCACATCTTAAGCAAGGTGCTTTTTTTGTGTGTCTTGTGTGTGTTTTTGAGTGACTTGAAAAACGGCAAGTCGCTTCTGGTATGAGAGAATTGGCCATCTGCAAGGACGTTGCCCAGGGGATGCCCAAATGTTTGATGTTTTACCATCCTTGTGGTAGGCTTCTCTCATGTCTCCACATGGAGAGCTGGAGCTGACAGAGGGAGCCCAACCCACTCTCCCCGGATTCGAACCGCTGCCCTGCCAGCACAAAGGTTTAACCCATTGTGCCACCGGGAGCTCCCAGAGCAAGGTGCTGATTAACATTTTCCCAGAGACTGGATCTACACTGCCCTATAATCCAATTTCAGAATGTTGATTAACTGCATTGAACTGGATTATATCAGCCTATACTGTCCTATAATCCAGCTCAATGTCATTAATCCACATTTTGAAACTGGATTATTGGGCAGTGTAGATCCAGCCTAAGAGACGGGGATAAAATCAGATTTCTTATTTAGAAAATGTACATGAAGCATGAAAACTAAGTCTAAAACTGCATATAAAAATGTTTCAGAAAAGATTAGAAGAGCAGACATTTAAAAAACCTCCCAGTCATGCCCAGCATGAAGGCTAAATATAAAGAAGGGAAGAAAGCTGAATCAAGACCTATGGAATGTGGAACAATTTAATCCTTTGAGACTGTTTTGGTATAAATTTGAGGACCTTATCAGATGCAGAGAGAGGAAAGTGTTCTCCATGCTTCTCTCCAGTGCCGAAATGGAACGGTGTTGGAACGGAGTCCCACAGAGCTCATCACATGACACAATGCTATTTTCGATGGGAGATGACTTTTTTTTCCTAAGAGAAAGTTTATTTATTTTGTGTCAAAAGCATTGCATACATAAGTATAAAAACTGATAAAAATAGAAGGAGCACAAGTGGCTAAATAATTTTGACCAAACCCAGGCAACAGCAACTGTATTGTTTAAACAATTCTTCCTTTGTATATGAGGGGGCCAAAATCTTGAATCCTAGGGGGCCATGCGATATACAAAAATAGCCTTGTGCCCCTGATGCGGTCACACCTGTTCTACCCAGGATGTAACCAAGGCGTGGACCACCCTGGCCAAGTCAGACTTCATGAGGTATGGTCGTAGCTGGTGCACAAGTTTGAGTTGTGCAAAGGCCCTCCTGGCCACCGCTGCCATCTGAGCATCAAGCGACAGCGTTGAATCCAGGAGGACCCCCAAGCTACGGACCTGCGCCTTCAAGGGGAGTGTAACTCCGTTGAGTACAGGTTGCCACCCAATACCTCGGTCGGTCCCACAAAATAATATGGAGTGTAATATGCAGTTTACAGAACAGCTCCCCTTCCCTTAAAAAGCTTAGCAGAAAAATGCCTATTGAAATAGAGAAATAGCAAGCAAGAAATCACTTTTGTTTCATTATTGTGTCTACCTCATGCCTTTAAATGAAGTTGTCATATAATTTAGTGCATATATTTATTTAGTAGCGAATTCATAGCTGTAGGCTGGTCATATCATTCACCAACAATGTGTACCTCCTGGACAAAATTTCTTTTCCCCAGGTATTTTCTTGCCTGGGCAGCTCAGCAGAAGCTTCATAGCCAAGTGCACATGACATGTGACAGCATTCTAGCTAGAATTCCTGGTATGTGGCATGCTGTGTGCTCTGCTAGGCATTTCTAGACTTGTTGCTGTCTAAAACTATAATATACAGCACAATTGAAATACATTGCTTAGTTGAATGTCAGAGTAAGTAGGAATTGTGTGATATTCAGGGTTTTTTTAAAAATAGCTACTCTGAAAATTCAGGAGAAATCTTTATTTAAAGTAATAAATATATTGACATGAGTTAACTTTACTTGACATAGAATGTCGTTGCATTGGTGCTTGCACAATGCTAGGCAAGGAGGCAGAAGTTCAGCCACACTGTATAATATGACCCCCTTATCCATGGAGTCAATATCCAGATTTACTTACCCAAACTCCAGAAAATCCCTTCTGTTCCCAAAAAGTGTTTGTGGGACTCTCAAGGTCCCCCAGAGCTGTTCCATGGAACAGTCAAATGTATAGTCAAAATATAGCTTTCTATTATCTATGTTTTCATATATTCATAGGGAGATGGGTTGGGGGTTAGAACGTATGCCCCCACAGATAGGGAGATTGTATTAGGTTGTGTTCTCAAAGAATGGCCTTATTATAATCATTCCAACATGCACAGAATTCAGCCTGGATTGGCATTTGGGACCCATTCCATGTCATTCATTCAACCCCTCCACTTTCTATATGAATATTCTCAGAGACATTCATGGAATAACATTTAAAAATGATTATTAATAAATATGCTGTAATGCTGTAGCATTAACCATTTTTAATTTTTTAAAATCACAGATCACAAACAGTTGGACGGATTTTCACTCGGTACTTGAAAATGTGACAACTTTGCAACAGATGAACATTTCTAGGGAGAGAATGTACAAAGCTAGGGTGTCCCCACCAAGGATCCTGTCTTCTCTTTCTTCTTGCTTCATTTTTGATGGGGGATAGGGAGTAGCATTCGTCTTTTGCAAGAGAAGCAATTCCACCGCCATTAGAAAGTGTTGGCTTGTGGACCAATGTCAGGACCTTGGCAGAGGATGAGGATGATGGGTTAGAGGGTCCTCTCCCACTCCCAACAGCCAAATCAGGAGCAAATGTCAAACAGCCACCTGAGCAACCTGACACTTTGGATCTAACTAACAACCTTGTCACATGGCCACCAAAATGTTATGCAAATACCTAGTTTTTAGTCTGTTTTTAGTTCTGTGTTTGTGCAACTTAGCATATACACTTGGTGATTTGATTTGTGAAGTTTCAGAGTGGGCTAAAGTAGTGCAGACTGAGGCCGGATCCAGACAGGCCTTTATCCCAGAAGCATCAGTGTTTTAAAAAAAAGAGAGGATGTTTCTGGGAGCCTCTTTAAGTGCGCTTTCTGTGGTGGGTGTCCAGATGTTCTCTTGGGATTAGACTTTTCTAAGGGGTCTGGGGGCTTGGGGCGGGTATTCCCACAGTTTACCAAGAAGGCACAGAATAAATCCACTGTCTCAAATATTGTCTGGACAGCCCCTCCTTTATTATGGCAGATACTGCAATAAAGGTCCTATCTGGACGGGCCCTGAGTGCTATGATACCTATAACTGATGAGGTACTTTTTTCTTATTGCTGTTTCCATGAATGTGCTCAGAGGCTTAGTGTGTATCAGGACTGCTACATGTGAAGCAGTCCCCTCAGTAACACCCTCCTCCCCCAATTCTCCATATAATATAATATAATATAATATAATATAATATAATATAATATAATATAATATAATATAATATAATATAATAATATTCTTAGTGGGTTTCTTAGCAACTTCACCCATTAAATTGTTTGTGTTCAGTAGTTATTTTCTTCCTCTTGATTCCTCATTGGCTTTGCATGTGGAGTTCTGTCATGCTTACAGTCTCTTAACTAGTCCCGGTGCAACATGCCAGGCAAGTATACACAATAAAATGAATAGATCACTTGGAAAATAAATTCACAAGATATTTTTGAGTTATAGCCAAATGAAGTCTGGTTTATACTTATTTATTTATTATTGATTTATTAACAGTATTTATATATCGCTTTTCTCACCCCTGGGGGGACTCAAAGCAGTTTACACAGAAACAGTTTACACAGAAATAATGGCAAAATTCAATGCTTTACATACGTAAACTTACTATCAGTCTTTAGAAGGCTGCATTAAAAGACCTATTTTTCTCCCAAAATGTTGTAATCTGAATTGTGGGGGGAAAGGAGTATCTCATATGTTAAATATTATTTATTTACTCATTTATATCCACCTTTCTCATCCTACAGGGGACTCAAAGCAGCTTACAGACTTCGGCAAAAATTCAATGCCGCATAAAAACATAACAATAAAATGTACCCCATCAAACTATAAAACAATTTAAACACTTAAGCAGCTAAAACACATAGAATAAAACAGGTTAAAAACATGAAGTGCCAAATTTGATTCCATCTAAACCTTGAAAGAAATCCCTATACTGTATTATTCAGACTCAAATATTTGCACACTGTATACTTGTCAAGAACCGCAATAAGTGATCAAAATACTATATAAGGGAGGAATTCTTGAAATACTCATACAGGCTTTCTTTCTCCAAAGTCTATCAAAGGCCACAGGGTAGTAGAAACCTCAACAAAAGACTATCTGCATCAACTTGTTCCAGAGGTGTTCAGAGAAAAGAAAATTAAATTAAATGACTCTGACAATTGGTAAAATGTATTGGGGATATGCACAAGAATGGCTAACATGCTGTAACTTGCTCTGCTGGGGTGCAACAGATGCAGGGAATCTCACACTGAAATTAAATCAATAAAAAAACTATCACAGTCCAAAGACCCAGTCAGTTTGGGGGTAAAAGGTGTGCAATTGCGAACAGATTAAGAC